TGTGTTTGTTGATGTGTCATTAGAAGTAGCAGGCGGTGGAGCTGGGCTGAGCAGCATCGAGAGGATGGGCACTGTCCCCCCTGCACCCTGGGCGGTCACCACCACCTCCTCCTCCCGCTGCACGGAGGGATTTGGTCCCACCTCAACAGGGGACCGGAGGTGGTCGGAGCTGACACCAGGCTCGTGAGATTTGGGGCCAGACCCAGCACAGGCTTTGGCACCCCTGAGTTGGCAGCTGCGAGGCCTGAGCTGGGTCAGTGGGTCCCGAGTGGGTGCAGCTGCACCCAGAGGGTGACACAGCCACCCCCCTTGAGGACTGGCACCCCGAATGCCGCCTGCGTTGGTGCCGGGGCTCCAAGGGAGACAAGAGCCACGTGTCAGGCTGCTGCAGGGCTGGTGCTGCTGTTTCCTCCTGGAAAGGGAAGGGCACTGGGCAGCCCCGGCTCAGGTAACCCCAGTTCGGACCTTCAGCTGCCTGTGAGGCTGTGGCCCCCCCAGTGCCCCGGGTGCCCCAAAGCCGGGTGGGTTGTAGGGGTTGTGCTGCCAGCCCCTGCTCCATGCTCCGGCCATGGCTTTGTCTCTGCTTCCTGGTACCTTCATCCTTTCTTCCCTACAGTGCAGTGAAGGGCCACGGAACACCAGGCACTAAATCCGGCTCCACTGGGGTTTGCCCAATACGGGCTGAATCTGCAGGGATGCAAGTTTCGGTTTTTAGGACAAGAAATATGGGGTTTGGAGTAGGAATAGAGCACCAGCCTGACAGGCTCTGAGCATCGCAGCTGTTCTTCACATGGCTCTGACGACATAAAGTGCCAGGCTTCACTTACCTAATTAAACACCATGCGAACAGCCCCGCTGCTCCCAGTGATCCATCACCTTTGAGTATTCCCAGGTGCTTCCAGCCGACCCCGAGTGCTGCAGCCCAGAGCAGGACCCGCAGCACCTGGCAGAGCCAACCAGGGTATAAATACAGCTGCTCAGAAGGCTCTGGGTCTGGAGGGGCTGGTTGTGGTACAGGCTGAGGGGGGTGTGGAGGGGTAAGTAATGCATCTCTGCTTTGTGGAATTAAGGAGGAATTGGTTCAGCTGTTTGCTGCTTCTTTGAACACAGTGAGTTGGGGGGGCTGGCAGTCTGACTTGGCCCCTCCAACAGCTCCTGCTTGCAGAGTGATGCTCCTTGGGGGGAGGTCTGGGGAGCTGGACCCAGGCTGCTCGTGAGCCCAGAGAAGGGGAGAGCAGGGGAAAGGATTGGTGGGGCCAGGGCCCTTGCTGTAGTTACTCTATGCTGGCAGACCAGTCTGTAGCTGTCTGGGAGCTGTATCTCAGCCATGCATAGACCAGTGTTCTGTATGTGGGGTGGTGCCTAACCAAGAGCATCCCTTTGCCTCCTGTGACTCCTCTCCCCAGCTGCCGTCCTGCTGCTCTGTCTGCCCAGCTCATGTGTGTTTCTCTGAGCCCCAGTTCCAGGCTGTGCTGTAGCTCCTGGGAGGAGCCAAGGGAGGTTTGTTTCTGTCAGTAGAACTCAACACTTGGGAATTTCCCTCTTTGAAGTGCTTTTTCCTGGTTTTTGTTTCTTTGTGAGTTCCAAGATTTTTATGCTTACTTAGGACTCTTACCTGCCCATGTGAGTCTCTGGGGCGAAGGTGGGTGCTCAGTGAGCTGGCTTTCATCCGGGCGCCCGCACGCTGGTGCTGGTTGTCTTCCACTCCCACTGACTTCAGCCTCCAGGAATGCGCGGCGGGCCCTGCCTTGCGCCAGCGAGACAGACAGCAGAACCAGCCCGTCTGAGCTTGGCTTCCTAGCAAAGCGGAGTCTTACAGACTTGCAGTGTATGCAGAGGGTGTATGAGTGGCTCTGGGCACCCTCATGCCTTGTGAATCCAGCTCAGCACAGAGTAAAAGCATCCAGGATTTTAAATATCCTGTGACCTCTGTGAAAGGAGGAGGCTGAGCACTAAAGAAGGAACCTTGTTAGCCCCTGCGTGAAGAGACTTCACATCGGATTTCAAATCTCATTAGATGCTCCTCTGCTTCCTTCCTATCTGATCCATGACCTCCAGCCCTTCTTTGTGGCCCCCCCGATGCTGGCTTGGACCCTTTTTGTCCCTTCCCCACAGACTCTGCTTTAAGGTGCCGCGTGTGCTCAGAACAACATGAGCAGTGGGGCTGGGCTGCAGCTGGACTCATGATGCTCTTCCCCAAGGATTCGTTGCCTACCCTGTGCTCTCGGGAGCAGGAGGGTTGTAGTCCTTGCTCTAAGGAAGCACAATGCAACATTTTTTGGCCAAATTTGCCTTGGCAGTGTTACCGTCCAGCTCGCCGCCCTTCTTGGCTGCAGTAGATCTAAACCAACATGTTGTGCTCCTTAGGGCGAGCACTGTATCTGTTCTGCAGAGCCTCCAGCACGCTTCCAGCAGTCGCTTCCTATTTCCTGACATGGGGAGGAGGGTGAAGAGAGGCCCCCCGCTTGAAAGACAGCTGTCATTACAGTAGAGGGGGAAGAGTCTGGAGTAAAACACATGGCAGTGAGGATCATGAAACTCTGATTTCAGTGTTGTATGCACAAGGGTAATTGCTGTATTTTTGGTAATGCTCGTGCTAGCCGTGGGGACAAGCTCACGCTGACACGAGAGCAGCTGAGTGCTGCTGTGCCAGCAGGGCTGTAGAGCAGGTGCCAGGCTCCCTACAGCCCATCCATCCTTCACCCCTTGCTCAGCTGGGAGCTGAGACCCCAGCATGCCGTAATGCTCCTTGCCCAGAGCTGGGCAGGTACAGCTTTGGGGACAGCCAAAATGCCACCCGCAAAGTCCCTGTGTGGGACACTTGATGTGGAGACGTTGGCCTGGGCTGTTCACAACAGCTGAGAAATGCAAAAGGGCTGTTCAGAAATCTTCTCTTTGCAAGATTTATCTGCACAGGGACATGAAAAGAAGCACATACATATCCGAGTGAGGACTTGCTGTGCACCAAGCCCAATGAGCATCCTGTGTGTGCCGACCTTGTGTTCACACGGGAACGTGGCGGTGGGACTGTGCGTGAGCTGCTGAGGCAGGTTGAATTTCCCCCTGCCTGCAGCCACCGGCTGCTCGCCGAAACGGCAGAGGAGGGATGCTGCTACTGTGAAATGCCAGGGCAGCTCTGCTGTGTTTTGACAGCACCTGTAAGTAACTGTGAGGCCGGGAAGTCGCTTTGCTTGTCTCGCAAGTGCAGATCGTGGCGGTGGTGTTCGCGCCGTGTTCTCTCATTGCCGCTTTGAACTGCCTTTCCTGTTCGATTGTTCTGGTAATCAGAAGAAAATGAACTCCAATTAAGGTATCTTACAAAGCGTGATTTGTGTCAAGTTAAGGCTGCTGGTGTACCTTGGAACGAGCTGAGGCCTGATTCACACAGGACTTGCGAGAGAAAGGGGTGGATCAAACTTGTCAAGTAAATGCAGCAAGAGCCGAGTTGGATTCATGCAAATCAAGGTTTTCATATGATGTGAGATCCTCCTGTTTGAGATAGGATGGGAGACTGACAGGAACATGGTAATAGTGTTTGGGAAATGGAAAGGGCGTATCCGTGGCTGTGTGTTTACCCAGGCGTGTTCATGCATGCTCCCTTGGCAGGATACGCATCTTCTGCGGGTACTTACCAGGAGGCTTCCAGCAGCCCAAGGAACCTGCAAGGGCAACATCTGCCACGACAGAAACCATGTCCAAGCCACATGAAGATGCTTGGGTTGGTTGGAAGGTCTGTATTGTGTTTTGTAAGTATGCAGCCTTCTAAACTAGTATTTCGTGAGCAAAATTTCACTAAAAATCAATCTATTGAGAGCATTAAGCTTTAAAAGCTCTGGTTCTGAATCAGAGGAATATAGCCTTGGCAGGATGTAGGCAGAAAGCTTAGTTTAAGTGCCACTCAAGGAAACTGCCTTCAATAGTGGAAATTTACTGAAATCTTGGAACCTGAGAGATTTTAACTCCTGTTGTGGGTACTTGACACAAGTAGGCATCAGGAGACATTTAGAACCAAGACAGCAGTTATGCTGTTGATGCATTTTGTGCTAACATACTCATTTTGGGGTGATGGCAGGGGTCTCTAAGGGTGGGCTCTCATGGGAAGGTGACCTGGCTCGCTGCTGTTGGGGTGGAGGGCTGGGTGAGCCTCGAGGAATTCAAGTCCCTTGGTTGTATGTGACTAAGGCTGGCTGCAACCAGCACCCTGCATGGACCTGCCCCACGCTGATGTCCCTCCCGTTCCTGGGTAACCCAGGCCCCATCCCCTTCTGCAAACCCCTGCCTTGACTGCTGGCACAGAAAAGGGCCCGATCAGGGCACGGGACTGCAGAGGAGCCTCTCGGGAGATGACTGGCACTTAAAAATGAAAAGCAAACCCAGGATGGTCAAAAGGCCCTGAAAGGCAGCAAGAATTACAAATAGGGCTTGAAGGCTAAAGACGGAGAAAAATCTTAATTAGATCTTCCCCGACCTGTAGAGGAGCACACTCGGACTGAAATGAAACGGAGCTTTGCACTTGCGGGGTTTCAGAGCAAGAATGGCCGAGGAATTATTCACATTTGCTATTTGTGAAGCTGTATTGCTTTTTCCGTGAACTTGTCTTTTTAGCTTCTCACCTTGTCAGAAAACTGTGAAAAGCTGCTGGGATGGTGTATTTGGGGTAGTTCTTATCACAGCACACAGCAGAAACATTTCCATGGTTTCAGAACATGGGCAGAGTTTCCTATTTAATCCTGTCCTCCCCAAGTTAACTCCTTGCCTCTTGTGGTAAGCCAGCCAGCCTCCATTCACCAGCCTGCCTTGTGTTTCACTACCATCGCTATTTTCTCTTTGTGAGCATCTATCAATATTTAATAGTGGTGTCAGTTCTGCTGTAAGATGAGAGGAGCTACTAGAAACTTGAATTATACATGGTGTGGCTGGGGGAAGCTGGGGAGAGTTTTCTTTTGGATCCAAAGCTCTTGGAGTTGATCCTCGGGGACCTGCAGCTTGAAATCCTAATAATGGACGAGCACCAGAAGAAACTCAATCAGCGGCATGAGGGAAGGCCCCGCAAAGTGAGGTTCAGAATATCCTCCGCTTACAGTGGTCGGGTGCTAAAACAAGTCTATGAAGACGGGCAGGAACTTGAGCCCCCGGCCAAAGAGCACTCACGGCGTTTTCTCTGCCACGGCTTTGAGCCAGGGGACCCCTTTTGCGGGGCTGGGGAAAGGCCAGAAAGCAGGTTCTGCCTGCCAGCCAAGCTGACTGCCCAACGGATCAGCATATTCAAAGAGGACACGAAATACAGCCTCGCCAGTAACTCCCCGCTGCTGGGTGACTGCCAGTCAAGCGATGGTCCCTGCAGGGTAAGTCAAGTCCAGCCTGGGGCTGCCGAGCGGTTTGGAGACCAGTTCAGACTAAACCATTCCTATAGCAATATGGCAACAGGAACCTCAAGCTGGAGCCTCGTTCGTGCAGAACTCGGGTTTTCTCAGTCCAGGGTTTTAAAAGGGTGATTGCAGCTCCTCAGCCTTTATCCCACAAATTCTGTGTCCCGCTTGCTCTGCAAATGGCAGGAGCCACATGTTTTGCAGCAGCGCAGTCGGCGAGCGGACAGCATCTGCTCGCTGTGCTCCACCTTCTCACTGATTTGCATCTGTCCGCTTTGTAGAATAAGGCACATTTCCATGTATATCAATATCTATACATAGTCATCCCAATGCATCTAAAGCAGTCAAGTGTAAGGGGGGTATTATCTTAATTAGTTTTATTTTAAACATGAAAGTTGCATGACTTGAGCTGGCAAAAAGGTTAGTGCCACTGGCAGCGTGCCAGCGAGCTCCGAGTGAGGCACCCACGTCCCCTGGCAAGTCAGAATCACCTTAGGCGACTTTGAAAAGCCCAGCTTAGTTTCACTGGGCATTTTGTCAACATATAATTAATGCCCTTGATAGAGAAGGGTCTCTTTGGACCGAATAGAAAAACCCAGTACATGCGTGAGATAGGTTAAATTGATTAATACACAGGGATTATGTTCACTTTCTTACCCTGTGGAATTAGATTTATGTATCTTTTACTGGTATTTGGTTTTATCAAACATAGATCCACCAGCTAAGCAATTCAAACACCAATGCTGGCACGTTGGCACTGTGGATAACACAGCCGTGTCCCACTCCACTCAACAGAGCACGTTACGTTGGTGTCATCAGCTGACTCGGGGAGACTCGAGGTGAGGCTGCTTGGAGAAACGAGGGTAAAAAGGAAGATGATGTGAGGTGAGCTGGCTGGCTGAGCCAGCCTCTTCAGCTCCAGCTCAGAGTGCCCAACCGGCAGCTGGGGCCAGCAGGCAGGTCAGCCCGCTGCCCAGCCCCCCGACCCCGGCCGGCGGTGACTGCTTGCTGGTGGTGCCTCAACCGCTGCCGAAAGGTCAAGCACTGGGTCTGTCTCCGGAGAAACACGAGGTCGCTCGAGTACACAACTGCTGCCACGTGATGGAGGTTGTGTCGTCACCCGGCGTGCTCTCTGGGTTATTTATGTCACTCTGGCACCTGCATGACTGAAGCGCTTTAAAAAGTGTAAAATGCTTTTTATGGCCTTGGTTTGAATACGTTAAAGGCCTATTAATTCTTGGTGCTAATCGGAGTTGCAGGTAGGAACCCTGGGTGGCTGATATTTGAACTGTATTTAGTTGACACCCTGGGCACCTAGCGTAACTGAAAATACCCAACCATGGTGAATCTCTCCTGCCTAAAGACAGAGCACTGATGTGATCTTATCCATACCATTAATTTATTCAGCATTCCTGGGTAACATGCATCTCCATTCCCACTTCACCTAACCATAAAGACCTTGAGTAATCGCGCTATCCAGTACCAGTTTTGTATCACCACACATTTGGTAGTTGGAGACGCCGTGTCTGCGTAACAAATACACTGCTTCTGAAGCCTTCTGTGAAGGGTGGGGGCTTGCACACATTTGTGGAGACGCTGTGTCTGCGTAACAAATACACTGCTTCTGAAGCCTTCTGTGAAGGGTGGGGGCTTGGGTCACCTGCCTCCCCTCCATGCTTCTCCCATTGAGAAGATTGAGATGGGTTACCAGGAGGTCCATTGGCCAGGGTGTTTTCTTAGAACATCTCCTTTTGCACCGCTGCTTGACGCAGACACCAAAGCAGTGAAACGGGACTGTGTAGAGCAACAGGGCACGGTAACTGCCCTGCGATGCTGAGTGCAAAGGGGAAATGGGCCCAGGTAAGGAAACTCTGCTTTTGGAGAAGTGTTTGACCACACCCAGTTCAGCTTTAAAACCATTAGAAAGGAATAAGAAGCATGCCCAGAGATGGTTGCTTAGACTGGCTGCTTGCTGCCAGGAACACGATTTACCATTAGATAATGACTTTTATCATCTGACCCTTTTGCCAGCATTAACAACTTAGAACAGCTTGCTTTTAAATCTGAAAAACCCCATCAAAGGCTGTAGAATAGGTCACAACCATGGGGAACGTCTACTTCTGGCTAAAACCATGAAACCTCCTCTCCCTCAACTACTCAAACTTCAAAGAAATGCAGGTCAGTCCTCAGTGCAGAGGTTGCTTTTCCATGAATGCCGACACCACCGCTCTTAGAATTGTAATGGCTTTAAACTGGAAGAGGGAGATTGAGATGGGGCAGCAGGAAGGAATTCTTCCCGGAGAGGGAGGGGAGGCACTGGGACAGGTTGCCCAGAGAAGCTGTGGATGCCCCATCCCTGGAAGTGTCCAAGGCCAGGCTGGATGAGGCTTGGAACAACCTGGTCTAGTGGAAGGTGTCCCTGCCCATGGCAGGGGGTGGCACTGGGGGGCTTTAAGTTTCTTTCCAACCCAAACTGTTCTATGATTCTATAAATCATGCCTTCTTTTTTTCTTGTGTAGGGGTTGGAATGAGAATTTACATCCCAGAAAGCTTTCCTCACCCAGGGAAACATCCATCCAGAACACAGTGTTAAAGGCAGGCTCCTAAGATCTGACCCGATGTCTTGGTCTGATCCCAAAGCCCATTAGGGCCATCTCTCCATTGCTGTTCTGCTCGGGGGGCGGACGGGAGCTGGCTTGTGCCGCAGAGCCAGCCGAGCCAATGACTGGGCAGAGGGGATGTTCTTCTGGAAGCCCAGGGATCACCCGTGTTTGTAGAGTGTATTTATACAGGTGAAACACTGATACAATCCTTCTACAGGCTTCCCCAATTCTAGATTTTGGCAAGATCATCATCTACACTAATAACCTGAAAATCATCCGTGCACCGATGGACCAGAAAGAGCTCATGAGAAGAATCATCCAGACTGAGGGAATAAATGACTGGGCCTTCATATACCGAGAAAGGAAAGAAAGATTTGGTGATGGACATAAAAAAGATGTGGAAAAAAAGGCTGCTTGTAACCAATATGTGCAGGTAAGAGCAAATGGAAAGTGCTTTTTTTCCCCCTAAGGCTTTTGGGGTCTTACAGCCCTGCTCAGACCACTGAGTATTCCCACCCAAGCCCCATCCATATGAAGTGCTCCATCTGTATCAGACACTTAACTATATTTGGATTAAAAGCATCACTTCGTTCCATTTTCCACTCGGGGATAACCCATCAGCGCTGCACTGCAGTGTGTGCTCTGGGACAGCTGTTCTGTTTCCAGATGCTCCCGTCTCCCACTTGATTCTTCCCCTGGAGATCACTGATGCTTATGTAGCTTGGCTTAGGTCCATTCTTCGTCATCATCTCCCAGTGGAATAGGAGCAGGCCGGAGTTTCTCCAGCCTGACAAGGCTAGATGCAGCTGTTCTGTGGTTGAGACTGCTGGAGGCTAAAATTCCAATATCAGCTGAATTAAGATTGTGCCTTTCACTTGTTTTCTCACGGGTTAGTCTTTGTTGGTCAGCATCCCAATTAGTCTGACCATAATTTGATCCCACAAAACATAATGTTGTTGTGCAGGGCAAATATGACGCATTACAGTTTGGCAGATCTGAGACCGACCTGTGCTGAGTGCAGGTTGCCTTGGTCCTTCTGCACCCACGAGCCTTGCCTGGGGCTCGCTTGCACAAAGACCCATGAAAACAGCCCTGAGAAACTAGGAATTTTGACCTTTGTCAGTTTTGAAATAAACTTGATTTTCGAGAAGAGGGCTTTAACATAAAAGCCAAGACTCATCCCATCTGCTGGCAGAAACCAATCTGAGTCACCAAAAAATCACTCCTGGCCTTTGGGGGAATATATGTGGAAAAGATCCTCCATAAGGCAATGGATTGCCTTCCTCCAGTCCCTCTCACGGGAGAAGCACGCTTTGGAGAAGGACAGCAACTCCTGGAAGGCATTGTTCTAGAGAAGGCTGCTAATCTTGGAAGAACTCAGCAAGGTAGTTCTGTTCTCCTTGATGTTTGGGAACAGTAGGTAAAACTCAAAGGTCCTAAAGCTGATCTTTTTTAGAATAATTTTGGACTTTCTGTGCACTGGTATTATGAAAATTCATTTAAAGATGTCCAAACCACAGGAAGCTTATTATTCTGAGAAGTCAGTTTGGACTATCAAATTAATAAACAGACACACAAAGTGTGTCTGGCACCAACTCCCCGTGTCCCAGTTAAAACCTCGTTCTGTAGTGCTGTGTGAAGTAGAACCACTGCACAGGGATGAGGCAGGACTCTCATCCTGACATCAAAAAATGAACCTACGCCGTGCCGCGTTCTTCCAGACGCAGATACTTAATCATTCCTGGGCTCTGTGGAAGCAATGAATTTTAAGATGGATTTGAAAGAGGCGGTCTGGCATCCTGGGAGAGGGTTGCAGACACGAGGCACAGCTTGAAAGAAGCTGCACATGTTGGTGATGAGGGATTCGGGGGAAAGGGCGAGGAGAAACGCTTAAGAAATGAAGTGTGGCTCGAAAGTGAGGATGCAGAGCTGAGTGTATGGGATAAGAAATGGCAGGAGGCTGGTGGAGCTACACAGACCCTCGCAGGAGAAAGATGAACTGGGAAGAATTGTTACAACCCCAGTCACATTAACTTCCCATTTTCTAGAAGTATCCACAAATTGCTCCCAAATATACAGGAGCCCTTTTCTTGAAGTTCTTGCTGTAGAGAATTGAATGTTATTGGCAGAACAGCAAAAATCACTTAAAAGAGCAGAAAACAGAATTTCCCTCTTTCAAGTGTGTTACTTTCGTGTCTGCCACCCAGTAACAGACTTCTCTGACATTGTCTCTTTCAGGAAGGAGATGCTGGACGCGGTTGTTCCCGGTGCAAAGGGTCAGGCTCTGCTCCTTGCTCGCGGTGCCACGGAAGCAAGTTTTCAATGCTGGCAAACCGCTTCAGAGAGTCCTACAAGGCTCTCCGCTGCCCGGCTTGCAACGAAAGTGGCCTGCAGCCCTGCCAGGTCTGTGCTGCCTGATGAGGAGCCCTGTCCCTGCAGCAGGCCACCAGCACACCGGCACGTGGTGTGGGAAACTTGGAATTATTTAAGCTTCCGGCAGCCTCACTATAATGACAAGTTTTTGGAAGATGGGAAAGGTGTGTTATCTCACCGTCCAGGTGAACATTCAGCACCTCTGCTACCGACTGTCCCTCGTCTGCTACACACACCTCCCTCCCTCTTGAAGTTATACCTGTGTGAATGTCCCTGGCATCAGGAGCTCAGCCTAACTCTGCAGGCGCTGTGCCTCCGTCAGGTATCCGGTGTCCGGCACAGCCAGGTCCCGACCCCCCCAGCACCCCACTAACATTAGAAGTAGCAGAAGGAGGTGCAGTTTGGGCATGTCGTAACGCGTCGGGGTGTGCAGTCTGTGTTAGGACAGCAGCAGAGCGGAGCCTCCCCTGGGCTTCAGCTTGCTGAACGATTGAAAATTGCGCTGTTTTTTTGCGCTCTACTCGCCCAGCACTGTCACCAGCAGTCCTCAGGGTTTTGCCGATTCTTACATCTGCTGTAGCTGTCACAGTGATTTCTTTGGGATCTGACTTAGGGGAAGAAATTGAAAACCCTTCCCAAACCTGGAGCTATTAAAAATGTACAATAATTTATTATTATAAATAAGAGTTATTAAGTTTTTAGCCTACTTAGGAGGAAGTGCTGAACTAAAATTCCCCTGTACGCTGCTCAGCACTTTTCAGGATCAGGTTGGTGGTGAGCAGGACTTCTGTTGCTTAATATTAATCCCATGTTGTAATCTGCAGAAGGTAAACTCTAATTAGTTGAGGCGAAGCAATGAGGCAGAGACTTTGCAGGCTGCCACTGGTGGCACAGAACACAGGGGCTTCAAGGGGTTGAGCTGAACAGGGGAAATGGTATTTTTTCCCCAAAGCATTAACTTATTACATTTTATATTCACAAGTCATGTTAATGCATCCTTAACTCATATATTACCTATGAGATTCCGATGAGTTAAGAGGCTGCTCACACGTTCTTCATGCTGAGGTTGCAAGCCTAGGCAGGGAAATTTATGGCCAAGTTTCTGTTTTCCTACGGTAGGATATAAGATTTCTCTACACTACTTCAGTGATTAGAAATAATGCTGTTGTAGCTCTTAGACTTCCATACGTCTCCCACTGAAATTGTTCAGTGGGTACCGAGGGTTTATTATTAAAAAAAAAAAAAGCATAAATCTATAGCAGATACTTGATTGGCTTCATTTATCATATCGGGATCCACAACATGAAAAACGTAGTCCTGGGGGTATTTTTCATTCAGGGCAGACGAGACCTCACAAATCAGAACCTGTTGTCAAGCAGATCGCTCCCCCCACATCTGACCTCCTTATCTCAGTTTGTTGGGCTTGTTTGAAAGTTTGCTGGTTAAGACAAGGAAAAAAAAAGCTACCAGGCAAAATTGTTACCTGATAGTTAATGTTTACAATAAAATGAGGTACAAACGTGCATTTATAAAATCAATATTTATTGTTCTTCGGTAATTACGATGTTTCTCAACCACTGGTACTCCTCCTGTCTGCGTCAGCTATTCCCGTTCATCCCCACATGTCAGCGGGCGATGCTGCCAGCGAGGAGCCGTGCTCTGCCCTTCTTTAGTCTGGAGTCCCTCAGGCCCCATGCCCAGAGCTCTGGGGACCCCCAGGACGTGTCCTTGCGCAGCGTTAGGGCTGGGGTCCTGCAAGCCCCATCTCCAGAGCTCTGGGGACCCCAGGACATGTTCCTGCATAGCGTTAGGGCTGGGGTCCCACAAGCCCCATCCCCAGAGCTCTGGGGACACCCAGGACATGTCCCTGCGCAGCGTTAGGGCCGGGCTGAGCCACATGGTCAGAGCTGGGTGAGTTTGCTCCCCAGACTTCAAATTATCTCAGTTTATTTTGATAATACACTGACTTGACTTCTCTAATAACTTGAAACAGAGGTTGGCGCTTTCCTACAGCAGCATGGCGAGGCTGCTGTTAGGGCAAGGGGTTCCTTGAAGACACTGCTGGGTTTATCATAGAATCACAG